GAAGGTCTCATGGCAGAAGAGAAGGAAAAAGAAATATAATCCTCTAGGAATCTTGCACTTTTGGAATTTAACTTTTTCCTTCAAATTTTACTTCTCACTGCATCATATTGGCCTGAGATACTTGGTTATAACTCACATCATGTCCCAGAATTTGACACAGACCGAAGGAGGCCCAGAGATGGTAACCTGACGGATGTTGGGAGGTATTGGTTGTCTTTTTGATGTCTGGGTTAGCATCCACTCACTGGTGGATGCTTCATTCACACGGAGATAAGGACTCCACTCACACTGGGATAAACATGAAGAATCTGCCACAATGCATCTCCTTGTGCAGTCATCTTTTTTCTTTGCCCTTTCTCTTCTGCTTTCTCTTCCCCATTTCTCCTTGGTGCCCTGTGAGGTGCAGAGGTCCTCTGGAGGTGTGGGGGGGTCTGGGTGACACTCAGGGGTTCCTGTGGGATCAATCACAAGCCCTGTGCTGCAGCCCTGATGCCTCACAAACCTGCCTGTAGCTGAGGGCCTGCACAAAGCAGGTGCTGGGAGATGGAGTTGTTTGCACCTTTTAAATAACATGTTGCTGTTGTGGGGGTTGTTTTAGGTAGCGGGCTTTGCCAGAGTTTTAGCTGTTCTTGCCCAGTTGTGCAATCTTCTGGGACATCCTGCTGCTTTTTTGGGCAAGGAGGAAAAGAAGTGGAGTGGGTGAGAGACAGGCCTGGATTGCAGAGTGGAAAGTCAGCTCCAGAGTGCCAGTGCAGTCTCCTACTGCTGAACTGCCTGCTGGGGCTGGTAAAGAAGGAAAAAGCCCCAGTAACAGCCCCATGGGACTGTGTCTCAGGGGCAGGAACAGGGAGGTGACAGGAAACAGCAGCTTGGTTTGGTCTCACAGCTTCTAAGAAGCAGTGAAACACGGACCTCATGGGCCAGAGGTTTCAGAAAGGCTGTCTTGTAAAATGGCCACAAATGAAGACTCTGAAACCCCTCTCTTTGCCTCTTGGATTTGTGTGTGCTTTTGACAGCCACAGCATCCTGTGGCCACGAGTTCCACAATTTCCTGAAGTGCTCCTTGAAAAGCACCTCCCACTGAGGTCCCACTGAGCTGCCAGCCTGGTCATTTCAGAGGGTGCTGCCTAGTTCTTGGGTGGAGAGAAAAACCAATCTTTTTGGGACTTGCCTTTCAGGGAGCTGAAGGAGAAGGCGCTCTCCAGCATCGCACAGCTGGCTGGGTCCCATTCAGAAGTCTTGCTTTGTAGACTTCGTGAAATTTGCCTGGCAGTTACCAGTGAGGTGAGAACATTCTTCTGAATTGTCCCCCGTACCTCATACATGGTGTGTAGAGCAGATATGTGCATGTTCATGTCCATGTGTGCTCAGGGATTGCCTTCATTTCTGTTTCTAGACCTTGTATTTCTAATGTCTCCCAGCTAGGATCAGTGTGTGCATGTAGCTGTATTTCCTGGTAGGTTGGCTGTCTGACACTCATCTTTGAGTGAGGTGTCATTGTAAAGCAAGGTGCAAATGCACAAACTGAGACATTAATTATGTTATTTACCAGGGTCCTAAACTCTGCTAGAGCTGTAATTCAAGACTGGAAATTTCTGTAGACTTGAGCCTGTGTTTTCTGTTTCTGGTCAGAGTCCTTCGATTGATGGTGTTGCTTTTTTGGAGTAGAGCACATGACTCCTTTGTTGTTATGACTTGGGCCTTTATAGTTTGCAAGAAGCCCTTCCTTTAATTTGTTTGTTTTTCAAGTAGAAGGGCCTAAAATCAAAGTAGTGCACATTTTGGAAGTCTTAAGTGAAATATTTTTTTTCTAGGCCTGCTGTCAGCAGGTCTGAGGCCAGAAACTGGTGCCAGAGTAAATGCTTTTCTGTGCTTGTGCTCTCCTGCTCTTATTGTGCTTTTATCTTCCCCCGGACAGAGTGGGATGTGTGTTGCTGTACTGGGGATGGCAATAAGCACGACAGACTCTTGTGCGTTGAACAGGAGAGCAAAGTTTCTTATTCTTGATCTTCTTTTATAGACATGTTAGAGAAAGCCTGAGAAGTAAAACTCTCATTGGTCATTAAAGCAACACATCTACCTTCATTGGTTAAGTGTAACATCAGCCTCTGACTGTTTTCCTAAACACCGCCTATAAAGATTGTTGTCCTTTACCAAGGACTGTTTGGATTCTTATGCTTTCTCAGGCCAGAATGAGAAGACTGTGACTTGGTTTCACACAGGCTCTGTTCCCTTCTTTTAGCATTTAGCATCCACAGGACGTGTTGTCATTTCCAGGGACTGTTGTCTAAGGCCACTGGTTTTCTTTTCAAGGTGATTCTTATGTTTCTCTCATCACTTCCCCAGGTGACCAACCTCCGCTCCAAGGTGTCCTACTCTGCAATCGTCACTCTTGGAGAGCTCTTTGCAGCCTTGAAGAAGGACATGGACTCCGTGGTGGATGAGGTTGCTCGGGTCCTTCTCCAGATGGTTTGGAATTCCCCAGAGTTTCTGGAGAAAGCAGCCAATCAGACCCTGGGGATCATGGTGGAGAACGTGACTCCTGCACGAGCACTGGCTGCTCTCATGGACAGGGGAGCCAAGTAGGTTCTTCTTCTTCTAGTGATCTTCTTCACCTTCTAGTGTGTGCGTGGGGGAAGGGATGAGAGACAGAATGGGAATGGTGGGAGGGAAGGCTCCTGCATCCTGCATCTTCTGTGAAGTCAGGGACTTCATTCCCCCATCAACCTCACTTCTTTCCTCTTGTCACCTGTTTCTGCCCTCCTGCAGCCTATAAGTTCACAGAATCACAGAGCTGTAGAATATGGGGAGTTGGAAGGGGCCCATCAGGAGCATCGAGGTCAGCTCCTGGCCTTGCACAGAACACCCCAAGGATCACACCAAGTGCCTGAGATTGTTGTTAAAATGCTTCTTCAACTCTGTCAGGCTTGGTGCTGTGACCACTGCCCTGGGGAGCCTGTTCCAGTGCTCAACCACCCTCTGGGTGAAAACCCTTTTCCTCATATCCAACCTAAACCTCCTCTGACTCAGCTTCCTGCTGCTTCCTGGAATTCTCCCAGCCTGTCAGAGCTTCCCAGAACTGGTGAATGGTGGGGAAGTGAAAGTGCCTGCAAAGGCTAAGGATAGAGCCTTGTGCTTTTGTGGGAAGAGGGACAATTGAAGTTGTAGCTGTGAGCGCTCTTTGATATTTCACAGCGCTAAGCACAGAGGCCCTGGGACAAACCATGCCTCCTCATTATGCCATTAGCTTGAGAAAGAAGGAGGGGACTTGCTGGGGCATGGAGCACAT